CCGATACAGTCATCAATGTAACGGAGGAAGAGGTGGGGTTTAGGGCCGGTGTAGGTACGGAAGAGGGATTGTTCCACGTAACCTACAAAGAGGCAGGCGTAGCTTGGGCCCATGCGGGTACCCATGGCTACCCCCTTTGTCTGTAGGAAGTGGGAGGAATTGAAAGAGAAGTTGTTGAGTGTGAGGACGAGTTCGGCTAAGCGGATGAGGGTGTCAGTGGAGGGGGACTGGTCGGGCCTGCGGGACAGGAAGAAGCGGAGGGCCTTAAGGCCATCTGCATGGGGAATGCAGGTGTAGAGGGACCCATTGTCTCCGCCTGCTCCTGCCCCACCGAACTGATCTCCAACTATCTCGACTCCATTTTCTCCCCCTTGGTCCAGGAACTCCCTACCTATGTCCGTGACACCACCCACGCCCTCCACCTCCTCCAGAACTTCCAATTCCCCGGTCCCCAACACCTCATCTTTACCATGGACGTCCAGTCCCTCTACACCTGCATTCGTCAAAAGAGTAATAGAGGGCATCTTTTAGAAATTTCTCATTCTTTTCTGTTGTACTATCAGACCGAGCTCTCTCTTTGGCGATATCTTGCACAATTGGCATTCATTCATTTTGATTTCTCCTAATAAAAGTAAAACATAACATCATAAATGTACAATAAAAAGTTGATGAACTGTCTAGAGCATAGTTCAAACAAAAATAAGATGCAGTATCCTATACATGCTATAGGATAGCATGTTCAATCGAAAATGAATTTGAAAACAGACTTTTCAAAATAGAGGTCAGTTGTATCTTGTCAAATCTAACTAACAAATCAGCTCTATTTGTATGCCGTTTCTGCACTGCAACTTCAGCTACAACTGTCTAAGTGTTTTTGCAATCCATAGCTATTGAGGAAGCAGATTACAATTTCCAACAAAATGCTAATTAGTGCAATCAAAAGAATGCTTTTAATAAGTGCAATAAAATGAAGCAAAATATACATACGGTGAAATATTTCACGAGATGAATTTATACATCTAAGTGGTCCCCAAATTATGATAATGTAGGGAATAAACTGGTTCTAACAAAGAAAAACATTTTCTCCCCACAGTGATCTCTTCCAATGGATGTAGTTACAATCATTCACACATGTTTGAATGTAAGCAAAATAGTACAGGCCAAGAGGGTTTTTTTTGCCATGCTGCAGAAGTCCAAAAATACACCTCAAGATTTCAGGTGTGGTCAAAGAATATCATTTGTCTCCAAATAAATAATTTTTGAAATAATTTTGCTTCTTCATGTGGAAATCACCAAGCTATGGGTAAATTAAGCTATGGGTAAAATATTCACTTAAGCCACAGCAATACAAGTTCATCAACCGATAATATCTAAAACGATATCACAGTAATGTCAATCTAACAAATTATCCAGAAAATTCACAAGTACATGAATTCAGAGCATGCGCTACAGCATTACTGACAACTCCCACAGACTTTCAAGCAACTGCAATGCTGATGATAAAATACTATTCCATATAGAATTGTACTGTAGGTAAATACAAGATAATATAGCACAGATAAAAGGCCATTCAGCCCAAACAATCCTTACTAGTAATTAAAGAACACAAACTTAACACAGCATTTCCTACCGTAGCAAATTCAAGATCACAGACCAAGAAATATACTGTGCAATTCAAAAATCATCCCACTGAGTACACTTACACACTATAGATTTTCATTAATGATGCAAATAAACCTCAGTTTTGATATCGCAATACAGAATCTACATTATGCAACACCTCAAACAGCTATGAGTTGCGAGTCACAATTTCATACTCTTTCCTATTTTCCCTCAGAATTCGGAATTATTCTTGGAAGAATTCACAGCAGTGAAAATTATGATCACAAACCATCTTGGGAGAGGCACTTCTAATAGTTTGTATTATGTATTATTTTGATTTAAGAAAACAAGGCAAGCAAATAGAATTCTTGCAAGCAACTTCATAAACCTATATCCATTTTTATACATTCACACTTCAAGCAAAACAGTTGTCAGAATTACATTTACATTTTAGGTTGCCTCAATTAAACTTGATTAGTTTACGACAAAAATAAAGATACTGATATTAAAGGAAAGTGTTATCACATGGAAACAAAAAGGCATGTCATAATAGTTTTGCAATGTGCAGCTGATACATAGCAACAAGCCTCGTCACTCCATAATAAGTGGTTTTATACAGTTTATCTCATTCCAATCAAGCCCTGTAACCCAACAATTTTATAAGTATCACTGATAAAGGTAGAACTTGTCATTTAGCATTCATACAACAGCGTTTATGTAATTTACAAAATGAGCTAAAATTGTATTGACACATTTTTGACAGAACATTTAACTAGTTGGGATAGACTTAGATACTTCAATACCACAAAACCATGATTCTAAATTTCCAAATGTCAAAGAAACTAAATGGACTTAAGTACCAAAAAAAGTCTAATCATTTGACAAATTTGCAAAAAGTCAAAATAACAGTACAATCTGATGAGATAATTAAACATTCCATTTCAGAACTCAGATAAATCGCCACAAAATTAACCTGGAGTCTCCAGGGAATAGTTTGAAAATAAACAGAAAACATGATCTGCATTAAATAGGATTTAAGCAGTTTTGTTTTTAAGATTATACGAATCACGTGGTTCTCTGTGCAAAATCGAAAATACTGGACAAGGGCAAAGCACTTGGCTCATTACCACTTATTTAAAGACCAAATGTCAAACTAATGACAGCACCCACGTGTGAAGGTGAAAAATGTTATACGTTTCGAATGCAGGGAAAAAAAAAACATGAGAGGACTCGCGTCACCAGTCACTGAAAGATACACTACTCTGCTCAGAACATCGACAAACCTGATGAGTGGACTCTGCACCAGGTGGATCCCAAACCACGGCCTCAATCCAACCAGACAGATACTTCCCGTTAACAACCTTGCCCAACCAACAAAGCATCGATGGGAAAATAAAATCCTGCTTTAGATGCAATCCTTAGCCTCAAATTGGGTGCGCTACTTGAATGAAGAAACCTGAGACGCAGAAACAAAGTAAGATATAAAGCAGAAAGGGTCATTCCAAGCGGTTTAATGCCCTGGTGAATAGAAAATGAACGTGACAAGCTAGAAAAGCTAGTGGATGTCTCAAGTGGTGGTGGGAGGATACCAGGTTAGACAAACCGGTTTATTAAATACTTAAACACCCAAATGAAAGGGAGGCTAAACTGACATCGGAATATCTGCAAAAAAAAAATTAACACCCATTTTTGAACTTGACCTTTTGCTCAACTTGGGAGTACGCGCTACGAAGAGGGTTTAAAAGCCCGGTCCTGACGCATTATTCAGACAGCTCACACACGCCACTGCGTTTGCGAAGGAGGGGACGGCAAGGAGGCTGGCTCAGAGTGTCTTCGATGGGAAGCTTTCCTGGGGTGAGGGAGGGCGGGGGAAGGAAATGTATTAAAACCGACTGCAACCGACCCGCACTGCTCTTCTCTCCTTTTCCTCTCACCCCGCCACCTTCTCGGTCTGTGACTCCTCCACCTAACCTGAACAAGAGGCGGGGATGGCGAGGCAACGGCCCCGCCCCTCTCCCGAACGCCCATTGGGCAGGCCGCGAAGCCGGGGCTCCAACGTGACGGAGGTCCCGTCCTGCCACTGGCGGAAGGCACCATCAATCCTCAGACGTCACAATGGTCAAGGAAGGCAGCAAGTCAGGTTGTAAATAGCCATTAATTCAGTGAGGCCCCACAGCGGATAAGGACAAACGCGGGGGGGGGTAATAAAAGACATACGCACTTGCTCTTAATTCCAATAAACCAAATCGCTCACTGACCATTCACGTGTGTGTCTGTGTGTATGTAGACATATAACATACATATTTTCTTTTTTTTAAAAAAAACAAAACGACATTGGTGTTCCTGAAGAGGCGCCCGCCCCGTGTGACAGGGACGATTGAAATCCCACGCTTTAACCAACCTGTCAGTCTGAATAAAGAGATTGTTGTTTTTTGAATTTTTAAACCGTTCTGACGCAGCTCGAGGCCGCCGGACTGGCATTTAAAAACACAGGCACACGCACCGCCCCCCATCCAGGCCGGTTTAACCTATTCCCCCCACCCCGCCCCTCTTCCTCCTCCTCTAACGGCAGAGAGAGAGGGGGAGAATAACTCAGTTTGATCACAAGAGGTTGGCGCCCCTTTCATTCCGGTGAATGTTACCTTGATTTCTTTTCCCCCTCCCCGCTTTACAGGAGGAAAGGATGCGCGGCCCCGATCTCTCTAAAGTGTCCGGTTTCTGTCAAAGCAGAGGCGGGAGGGGATCGCCTATGTTTTTTTCTCTCGTTTCTCTTTCTTCTTTTCCTCAACCCTACCCCACCCCCAAAAAAAAGACCCCGAACTCCCGTGTGTATGTGCCTGACTCTCTCTCTCTCTCGGCTTTGCCCTTATGATTCGATAGATGTTTCCCACTTTTCCCCCCACCCCCCAACCCACGCTCCCCCCTCCCGTCCCTTCTTTTTCCCTGTCCCTGGCGCCGCCACCGCCGAAAGCCGCAGCGTTGACAGAGCGCGAGAGAGAGAGAAAGACATAGATGGCCTCCGTCGCCAAAGAAGGGAGGGAGGACGGTTGTTACGGGAGGGGAGAGGGGGTGAGAGAAACACGTAGGTTCAGGCGACAGGCCGCAGCACCGCCCACTTTGCCCCCGCCCCTCCCCCCCCAACAACTGAGTCCCCGCCCCTTCTCCTCTCCTCCCCTCCCTCGCGGCACGATCACTCCGCCGCGCGCTCGCGCTGGGGACTGCTGTAACGGACAATGCAGGTTGCACGCGCCGGACCGCAGCACGCCCCCTCTCCCTCCGCAGGGCCAGTGGAAGGGAGCGACCGACCGACCGAGATCAGCCACCTCCCCAGCTCGGCCGTTCAGAGCAAAGCGACAGAGGCTGCTGTTGGCAGCTTCGTCACTGGACGTTTTTCTTTGTTTCAAACAACCCCCCCCCCCCCAAAAAACCAAAAAGTTCGACGACGGACGGGTTCGCGGGACAGTTGTTCGCCGTGTGAGTTTGATTCGGTTTCCGGGATTTGCGTTTTGCTTTCGCCCACCGTTCGGGCACTCGATGCGAGCAACGAGAGCGGGAGGTGGTGGAGAGATGGTTTCTGTGAAATCCTGATGTATCATGCGAACGGTGTAAATAAATGAACGAAACAAATGTTCGACTGTTAAATCCTCACGAGAATACACCAGAACGCCCCCATACGTGTATATATAAAATGATCACGGAGTAAACAGTCTCAGAGACCTGACCCAAAACTGCAAATCAGTTTAAATACAAGTGTTTATTAAGAATGGCGCACATCAAAATAAAGCAAAGTGAGCCATTGCAAGTCTTAATAACTGGATGAGTTGCACAGATTTGATTCTCGAGTCTATTGTTAACGGTTTCCTAGTTAGACACCGGGTGTGTTGCAGGTGAGTATGCACATTGGCTTACCTTCTTTACAGGTGGAGTTTTGTCCCAGTCTTTTTTTCTTGTGTTAAGTGGGTAGTGTGAAACAAGCAGGTAAAGGGTCAGAGTTGCTATGGCTGCAACTGTGAGCTCACTGGTCTCGGTGCCAGTGCACAGTGGGTCTGAATTTTTTTTTAATCAACTGCCATTGGCTTCTTGGAAATTAGTTTTTTTCTCTCAATGTCACCTACTAGGAATACGTTCAGCACTTATTAGAGTGCAGAAGGAGGCCATTCAGCTTACTCAGTTAGTAGTGACTTGCTGTAGATCTGTTCTGATTTACTGCCAACTTGGTAACCCTGAGAGTTTATTCTCCTCAAGTGCCTGTCCAATCTCCTGCTGAAATAATTTCATTGTCATTGCTTCCACCATCCTCCTTGGCAGCAAGTTCCAAATCATTACTGCAGACTTTTTTTTAAGATTCTAAGTTGTCGTCATTTTTCTCCTCATCTCTGCTATTCTTGCCCAAAACCTTAGTGTTGCTAGATTTTGTAGAAGCTGCAAAGTGATCATCATATTTTCTCTTCAATCTACCTTTCAAACAACAGCGCACTTCTCCAACCTTACCTCATAGTTAAAATCCCTCAACCATGGAAGCATTCTGGTAAATTCAAGGACTCTTGAGGACTAAAGGGAGATGACTTATGCCGTACCCAACTGCAGCAGATTGTACGATAACTTTGATAATGGATAGATTTGCACAAATGATTGAATTGCCAAACATAAATAAAGACAGAGATAGTAGGAACTGCAGATGCTGGAGAATCCGAGACAATAAGGTGCAGGGCTGGATGAACACAGCAGGCCAAGCAGCATCATAGGAGCAGAAAGGCTGATGTTTCGGGCCTAGACCTTCGTCAGAAAAGGGGGAGGGGAAGGGGGTTCTGAAATAAATAGGGAGAGAGTGGGAGGCGGATAGAGGAGAGGATAGGTGGAGAGGAAACAAACAGGTTGAAGAGGCGGGGATGGAGCCAGTAAAGGTGCGTGTAGGTAGGCAGTTAGGAAGGGGATAGGTCAGTCCAGGGTGGACGGACAGGTCAAGGGGGCGGGCTGAGGTTGGTTGGTAGGAGATGGAGGTGCGGCTTGAGGTGGGAGGAGGGGATAGGTGGGAGGAAGAACAGGTTAGGGAGGCAGGGACGAGCTGGACTGGTTTTGGGATGCGGTAGGGGGAGGGGAGATTTTGGAATTTGTGAAATCCACATTGATACCATTGGGCTGCAGGGTTCCCAAGCGGAATATAAGTTGCCAATTTAGTGGCTGTGGTATAGTGGCTATAGTTTGCCTCACGTGTGAAAGGCCCCAGCTTTGTAAGCCAGTAGAGACATTGTTAAAGCTTAGGTCTTCGTGAATTCCTCTTTTTTAAAATGCTGTGTGGCACCCTGGCATTCTCCCTACCTATGAACCAGAAAGCCTGGTTTCAAGTTCTACCTGCTCCAGAAGTGTATAATAACATCTCTGAGCAGGTTAATTAGAACATATATACAAATAAAGACATTAATGTGTCACTACTACAACTAACTTTTCCTTGGAAATTGTGATTTTGTTAATTCATGAAACCGTCATCATGGAGAGGTAATCAAGACCACCTAAAAATTTGTGTATCGTGACAATTTGTATATAAAATTAACTAATTTTGCATTGTGACTTTTTAAGTATGTAGTCCAAATTAATAACTTAATCAAGCTTTTGATGAGGATCTGCATCCTACTTACTTAAATTTAAACAGTGCTAAAACAGATAAAGTCCAATCTTTTTGTGTTGTACTCATCAGGCCTGGGACACCAGAAACCAAATTTAGGAAGAGAGCAACAACGTATGCAGTTTATGTATGGACAATTTTTTTTTTGCTGACAAAGGATCCTGTGTGAGAATGTAGGTAGCCTCTATAGCTACAGTTAGTTTATTATACCCTTCTCATTGATTAAAAGGATTTTACAGATTGGGTATGCACTGTGAATTGGCAATGGCATTGTCTTGACTAACAAGTCTATCTGCCTGGTCTGAGTTCAGTCAGCTCTCTATGATTAACAGTTTTTGTCATATCTCCAACTAGATATAAGCAATTTGCATTCTCTTCTCGTGCTGTGTAAATTGTTGTGTGCTTGCCAAGTTTGTTTTCTAGTCTTCTTGACCTGATGAGTGCAAGACATCAAGCTTTGACTCTGTTTTTAAGCAAAACTTAAATTCTGTACGACAGAGCTATTGTTTGTTAACTTAATTAATATAGACACTGGTGGGACTGATATTGGATTAAAATGCTTTCACACAGGATTGATTTTAATGAAGCAAAAACAAAGTTGCTGGAAAAGCTCAGCAGGTCTGGCAGGAAAAAACAGAGTTAACGTTTTGGGTCCGGTGATCTTTCTTCAGAACAGAGGAAGGGTCACTGGACCCGAAACGTTAACTCCTTCTTTCCTTCGCAGATGCTGCCAGACCTGCTGAGCTTTTCCAGCAAATAGCAGGAACTGCAGATGCTGGAGAATCTGAGATAACAAGGTGCAGAGCTGAAGAAGGGTCTGGGCCTGAAACGTCACCCTTCCTGCTCCTCTGATGCTTCTGGGCCTGAAATGTCATCCTTCCTGCTCCTCTGATGCTGCTTGGCCTGCTGTGTTCATCCAGCTCTGCACCTTGTTATCTGAGCTTTTCCAGCAACTTTGTTTTTGTTCCTGATTTACAGCATCTGCAGTTCTTTCAGTTTTGATTTTAATGGACGCGTTCTCTATGGAGATTTATATTAGTGGGTGTCCATGGGCTTACAGAGAAGGCAAATAAGAATGTTGTGTTACATAGCAAGAATATTTCTGTATAAAGCATAGAGGCTTTGTGCAGAGATTAGTTAGACTTCACCTGGAATACTGTATTCAATTTTGGTTGTGTGAGATGTTGTATTATGATTCTCTTTACTAACAAGTACTCTGTGTTTACTGTACAGTGTTTCCATTCATTCACAAAACTGCATTTTTATAGTACGTTTTACTCTTACAAGATAAACTAAATTAAACATTCCTTCCTAGGCTGCCAACCCATTACTGTTTCTTTACACCTTTCAATTCTTGTTGACGCCATGCT